TTTCTAGCTATAGGGGTGTCCGAAAATAGATGTAAGTCATTGAAGAGGGTGATTCCTAAGGTGATTATAAAATCAAATTGTATCCATCCGTTGCGTCACTTAAAATGTTATATAATTCATTAAAACGTTTCTTCATACAATCAATAGGTTATTTTAGATAATAGTTCTTATTCACTCACCCTGTATATAGTGGCCTGAATTGAAAGTAAAACAAAATTAGCTTCGCGTTTAACGTGTTAATCAACGTAAATTTTCTCATTTCCTTTAATCTTTTGTCGATGTCATAAGAAGCTAGAGTCATTCATCAGTTCATTGTGTCTCGTAGAAAAGGTTTTGTACGTGAAGTTTACTCTCCTGAAATACTAATACTCAATTAGGAGTCGTTGTACAACGTTCGATCGAAGTCGTACAGTCTATTAAGACGACGAATGTTTCCGGAACGCTCTTGTTCTGAACTAATTTCAATCAGGACCCCGTTTCTTTGGACTCAAATATTACTCCGCGATATCTCCCATAACCGTCGCAGCTTCTACAGGGTATGGCAGAAGCAACCAAACGACTTGAATTAGCCGCCACTTGTACTCGATATTGTTATGTCAAGTGTGTGTCAGTACATGCAAAAAAAAATCGTAGTGATCAATTCAACAAAAAGTGCAATTACAGTTTACAAATGTCCCGACACGCTTTTGAAATAAATAATACAAAATTTCCCCTATAACTTTGCTTATACGTTCACTTGAACAGAGTATATTAGTATTTAATCCTCAGAACCCTAATACAAATTAGGAATTTTTAATTTCTGATGATATTCTAGACATTTTTATAAAAAGAAAAGAAAAAATTATATATATATATATGCATGTACCATACAATGATACGTAACGATGATACGCAACAGTGATACGATACGAGGGTACGCATCAATGGGAGCTGTAGTTTCCATGAAAGAAATGTGACAAAAAACAATTCCTATTATTAAATGTCTTGTAGAATACTTATGACATATTGACACTAAAAACATGAAAACAGCAAAATTCATTTCTCCAAGCCATGGGGTCGGAAGAATGATTACGTCTCGAATGTATTAAGGGAAATCGCAGCCGCGACAATACATTGCAGGTCGATTTCAATGAAGAGTAGATCGTCGTGCTCCGAACAGACATCGCGAAACGAGGTAAAATTTGTGCCAAGCGTGGCAGGGGGGGGGAGGCACACGATTTATGCCCGCTTTGTTTGCGGCCCATTCCGGAAATGCATGCGTTTAACTTAACTGCGCGCACTTCCATTTCTCAGGTATAAATTATCTTTTCAAGTACGGAAGTAATAACGTTTATCATTGTGCCTGGGTTCGAAGGTGGAAACATATTTCAGTTCATTTGTACCCGCGACAGACGTAGCATATTGATGCATTGCACACGCGAACGAGGCATTAACCGTACAGCGAGCAACGGTGTGAACCTTAACGAGCCGCCGAATTAAGGCCCTGGGCTACACCATTCTGCCAGGCGAAACACGAAGCAATCTTTCGAACTGTGCTTCGTCAAAAGATTTGATGATTTCCACTCCCTACTTGTTCAACGACTGGATACAATGTATTCGAGTGTTTGCTACCTACGAAAACAATTTGTATTTACGTTGCATTAGACCGACTCTGCAGTGAGCTTCCTGAGCGTAGATTTTCGTAGCAAACACCTGGGCACTTCATACCGTCTGTGTTGTGACAGTGAGCACTGTCTCGAGTTAAATATCGTTTTGGTATTAATAGAGCTGAATGAAGAATGTTTATAACAGCATGAACCATTGAATGTTTTGGAAAGAACGTGGTACTCAGACAATTTTCTTCGGATGTACAATAGCTACATCTGTCAGCGACAAATTGGGTTCATTCTTGAGCTTCGATTATAATAGTGTTACCTGTCCGTTTCGTTTTTTCGATTCAGCAAGAATTCACTTGATGCATATTCGTCCCACGATAACGATACAGAAAAAGGAAGGTCGATGTTGGCCATTGTACACTAAAGGACAAAGTTATGGAATTGGAGTTCATTATTGATGGAACATTAACTCATTATTCTGTTACGAAATCAGTACATGTACGAAAATAATTTCCAATCAGTTTTAGTTGTATAATATTTTTCCTTTTGTTTAATTATCAGACTCGATCTCGTACCTTTGGCCTATACGGGATATTTTAGCCAATAGTAGATAACTCTTTTTCCATATTTTCTGAATAATTCACTACCAGATCGTCTGAAGATCCACTTCTTACGTTACGCGAAAAGAGTCCTCTGTACCCATTCTAAGACGAATGCAAAAAAATTTCAGACAATACTCAACACATAGAAAAGCTTTCGCGCAAAATCTATTAGATGAAGTTCAGTGATTCTCTTAAAAAAAAAATCGAACCAGTTCTGGATCTTGGACGTGCGGCTGTTCCACGGGTCCGCACTAAATCCAATTGCAAATCGCTTGCGCATAATGGCCTAGACCTGGCAAACCCGAAGTCGCGGTAGCGGTCTATCGATTAGCGTCGGTTTACAGTCACCATTAGATTCGATTACGCCATTCTAGGGAGCAATTGGCAGCCATTCCTGTCGCGCCACACCGCACAACATTTCAGAATCCGAAAATGTTGGACGAAATTCTCGAATACTAAGATTTCTTTTAAAGAATCTTCACTGCAGTAAATCGTCGATGAGAGTTCCAAGGCTTTTCTCACTGAAACCAGCAGCCTCCCCCCTCCACCATTTTCCCCATCCCCCGTCTCGTGAAAATTGCTCGAGGGTCTGGCGCAGTGCTTTTCTGTCCGCGGCCGGGGGCCCACCCTTCACGCGGTAGCGTCTTCACGCGGGATCGTCGAGTTATTAAAAAACGCCCGGTTCACGAGGACTCGACAGCCGTAGTCAACGCTATTAAATTCATAAGGTTTAATTAAAAACTCGTTTCCATTTTGTACGCGCAGGACGACGCTCGTTGCTCCGCGGTATGCGTGGACGTCGATGAAAGAGGGGATGGAAAAAACGACGGTACGGCGAAAGGAAGCCCGGGGAAGAAAAAGAAAAAGAAGGAACGATGATGGAAATTTCTTAGGAAGAGATTTTGCTACCACCGGGCTCCTTGGGCGTTCCTTTATTCGATTTGTTAAAGAGCCTGAGACGCGAGTGTGCTTGTGGGATTGTGGTGAGTAGACTTTTGGATGTTTTTGAAATTCAGAGACAGCAGAACTTAGAATAGATCTCTAGAATTTTTAGCGTTACTTGAAACACCGCTAGAAGCATTAAACTTCAGAAAAGCACCCACATATGTTATCCATTCTTTTGGGATAGAAATCCAGGGTGACCTTCATTGTTTGAAAGGCTTTCCTTTTGAGCCCAATTAGATACTTAAAGGAAGAAAGAAATTCCGACCTTTGTTCTTGTATTTATGAACAACCTTCGAAAATGTGATTTTGCATGAAAATTCGCAGTCTACTTACAATGTAACTAATTATTTAATTAGCGTTTAGGTACGATAACTCAATTTATCTTGCCACCCCTTTTCGTATGTGAAAATTAACGTTCGCAGACCGGCGTATTCCGATTCGCCGATAAAAGACGTCTGCTCCAGCGAAAATTACATCGCCGCACTGTGGTATCGATTTCCCGGCGGTCGGCGCCGCGTCGTTATTGCAACTCCGATAATACGCGTTCGATTTCGTGCGTGGCTATTATAGAATTTGTTGTACCGGGGATAGTTGGCACGAATACCATGCACCGACGTTGATAAATGGCCCCTGCGTTCTGCCGCCACGTCGTACATCCACGCAGGATACAAATGACTCCGTGACAGAAAGCACGGCACCGTGTCCGATTTTGCATGATGATTCGTTGAAAAAGAAAGAAAAAAAAGTGTCTTCTTGCTGGGAATGTTCTTCCGTCGGGTAACAGATTTATTGATCTATTCAACGTCATGCATTTCCCTTTGGAATTAATTACTACTGGCTGTTACGAAATAGAGTTTTCAATCTGGAAAAAAATAATATTCTAGTGAAATGTAGTAACTTTAAAATGTTTAAAACTGCGCATAATTTTGTGGTCAGAGAATGTAGGGATGGATGATTGTAACGATACGTCATAGTTAAATTATAGATCTTTGGGTCGAATCACAGTTTTCTCGAGTGACCAAAGACGTTTTAAATAAAAATTTATTTCTTCTCTCGAGCATTGTACTGAATGGAAAATAAATTAGGAGTTATCTGATATTCTTGTTTAAAATATTATAGCTGCTTCGTAATGAGATAATTATTATTGAGTTATTAGGTATGAAATGACCAATTCCCCTAATGGGTACGTACTGTTGGCCAGTATGTTTGTGAAAGAAAATGATTAAATTGTATATTCGACTATAATTCTGTATTCGACACTCTATTTACCACGCCAATAAAGCTGATTGAAAATTCTATAAACCGGATTAAAGTGTTCAATGCACCCAATTGATGGGAATCAAGTTTGTCAACATTACGTAAAAATTATTAGTTAAATTTCACGGACCATATACACAATTCATAGAATTATTTTTAACAACATTGTAATCAGCATCCCCATAACGAACAAATTATCACCTGAACATTCGCCACCAGAATAATAACAGAATCCGTAATTCTCGACCATATATATATATATATATTTATTTATACAAACATTTAATAAGATTAACAATACCGTAGAAACAATTATAATTAATACCGAAACATATACAGAGTGTCTACAAACAATCGGTACATTTCAATTGAGCATTGGCACAGTACTTATATTCCGACCGCTCGGAATTAATATAATCCTCGCGCGTGTACAGTAAATCTTCATCGATCTGTACGCGATTTTCGACGAACGAGAATTCCCCGTCCTTGAACAAAAAAAAAAAAAAAATACAAAACACGTTTTACACAACGTTCACCAGTTCGCGGCTCCGATAAACGTATTTCGTCCACGGAATACGCTTCGTTTGGCATCGTTCCTCGATTAACGGGCTCGAGCCAAGCGGGTTCGTTGCTCGTCCAACAGCAACGACGCTTCGCCCATAATTTTCGCGCTGGTTCGAACCAGGAATAACAATTGGTACTCGTCCGTGACTGTCAGGGGTGATCTGGTCCTGACCAGCGCGTGGAGAACGTTCGCCCTCTCGAGATCGAGCCATCTTTGAAGGGTGACCTCCCTTTCACGCGCACCCCCGAGTGTCACGTCCGCTGGACCCCACAGAGAAAACTCCAGGATCGACTTTACCTGCGCAAGAAAACACACGGTTACGGTATCCTGTTGACGTCGAACGAATTTAAGGATCGAGATCGGGATACTGGGGAACCAGGAGTTTTCGACGGGCCATAGGAATTGTGAGTAACTGTAATTTAACCCTTTCAGACTTGACCACATTTGTGTACAGATTACGGTATCGTAAATCTGGTGGCCCAGGGCAGGCTTAGGCATTGTTCGAAATAACTATTCAATAAATAATCATTAAGATAATATATTATATTATCTGGCTACAGGTTACGCGAAATAATCACGTATTAGTTTATTTGCACAGTCAAATGAATTTTCTTTAAATTATTCCATTATTTGATTTTCAAATGAAATAAGTTTTCATTTTATTCTTTATTTCATCAAATATTTATTTAAATAATTCACTGAAATACTCTCTGATTCTATCATGCGTAATTATTTGTTGTTTTATTCGAGTGAAGTGAAAATATTTGAAAATAATTTATTTGAATTGAACACAAAATAAAATTGGTTTCCTTGGTATTTGTAAAATAGAAAGAATGGAGTATTTGAAATAATTCATTATGATTATTTGTTAATCTTATTCCGAATAAAATATGCCCAACCTAGTCTAGAGTAACCATTTCGTTCTCACCTGAGACAAGGTGACTGCTTTCTCTCTCATGAGCAGTTCCTGCACCAACGGCAGCCTGCTCGACAGGTTCAGCTGGTGAAGCGCAACCAGCGCGCACTGGCACAACGAGACCCTCTCTTCCCCACGTTCCCCGTTCGTCTCCACGTTCAACCTATATAAAAAATCGCACGAACAATCATTGAAAGCCCAGTTTCGGTGTAACGTGAGTAGAGATGGGTTAAATTATATTAAAAATAGGTTCGAATATAACTGGATAGTTTCGAACGCTTCATAAATACTTCGAAAAAGGGTAGCAATACTTTTAAAGAAATTCTAACGTAGACGAAAGTGATTCGAATCAAGTATACTCGAACCCTGACCGAGTAGATTCAAACCTTTTATGAGTAGGTAAATACTTCGATCAGAAGTTTTCTATTCTCTGAAATTGTATATGTAGCTTATAGAAAATTATGTATGAATAGTTCAAGAATTACATTTATTTATCCATATTTCTTTAAATGAAATTGATTTGTCAGTGATTCGATCAGTTATCTCCATCTCGCTAACACTTAGAATTCGAGTACTGCCTGTGAAAAGTATGAATTTTTATTGCTTTTCACTAGTAATCGAAACCCATGAAATGAAACTTGGTCATAGAAATTTATTCGTTATCGTAAATACATATTGAACTTGATCCGATCCCTAAACGTGATTCTTCGACGTAATTTACTGACCCTTGGAGAAGATAGAGTCTGTAGTAGGCTTCTCTTTCCTCCCGGCAGAGGACCACGTTGCTCAGGCTTCTCGGGGAGTCTTCGATTCCGCGTGCCTGCAGGCTCTTCAGCGCGGTGACGAACTGGAGGAGCACAAACGAGGCTTCCCTGACGATCCCCTCGTCGTGCATGTCTTTCGTCCCAGCGCCGAACGATTGGACTGTGCTCACTTGCAGTCGCGGCAGCACGGATATGGTCGCTGTGAATTGAAATCGTGCAACTTTGATGATTTTGTTTCGATCTCGAAGGATTGCCTCATTTTTCTAAGAATGGTATCGTGCTAGAATTAGTGTTCGAGATGTCATGAAATTGAAGGAAAACGTGCCTGGATGCACTTGAACCCTTTATCTAGCTAGATTTACCAAACTTTCGTAAAGTAACTTGTTTCTCTAGTGAATTGATACATGTAAAAAATAGGTGGCAACATGATTGTCACTGCCTTATAAAAAGGTGTTAGTGGGTATAGAAAGATGAGGGGTTAAACGTGCCCTTGGACCGAATTGGTTTGATGATGGGCCATTAGATAGATTACCAAGAAAAGACGATTTATATCAATTTTCATCCCTTCGTCTCGACCAGAAGAATAGTGACGAGGAAAACTGGAATTATTCATTTTCCTGTATTATCCCTATTTAATTTACATGAATGTTTTTCATGAAGAAGTGAATGATCGATACTATAGAGAGCATTAAAAGTAACAGCTCCATAATAGAAGGGAAAAACAAAACAGAAGGGAAAGATAAATATCCACTGACTGTAAACAGAGATTAGCAACTCGTATAGGACATCAGCACAGCCATAGCTATTAGCATCCATAAACTCGCAATTAACTGCTCCACATTTGTTGAACAAAGGTTGTACCCACACGACGAAAAACGTATTTTCTACTTTAATTTCTAACCGAGGCTCCAGATATAAAATATCGCCACATTTCGAGAAGGAATGATACACCGTTCGAATCCAGTCCCGTCGAAAAAGGGCCCGCGTATAAAACTGATTAAGCCCCGAGTATCGTGATCGCCATATACAACAGAAAACTGGAGATCGAACGAGGCGCGAGAGTGTCGAACGGTTACGATTATAGGTGGAGCCGGGGGTATCAATATCGTGAAACTATTTACACCTCTCGAGGAACCGTTTATCGGATAGAAGTTAAGAAGGTGAGAGTCTGGTGCACTGGTGAGCATCGAAGGCCGAGAAGTGTACCTTCGAGCTGCTTGTTTCCAGGCGGACACGTTCTGCCGGTAACTTCCTTCGGCACCGTGTCTATAAACTCGATTATGGGCGCCAAATAAAATTCCCTCCTCGACACGTGCGCGGCCAGATCGTAGGCGACGCAAAGCGTGACGTTCAGCTCGTTCCACGTAGCCGAGTAAAATATTCGTCTGCCTACGGTGATCGGCGTGACGGTGTCGATGCTGAAGTGACTTATACGGGGATTCGTGGTCTTCAGGCCACGCAGCCCTGTTGCCACTTGGTGGGTCTGATTCAGCTGGAACAGACCGAAGGGAGATAGTAAAATAAGGGTGGAAAAGGAGGGGTGGAGAAATAAAGTCTGGGAGAGATGGAATAATTAATCGAATATTTTAGAGATAATAAATACAGTGGTTCCTCGGTGAATGCGACACTAGCAACGGAGGGGCTGATAACCTTGCCATTAATGCTCCCAGGCGGACCTGAGTTCGTCGCTCTCATGGAGGAATTACTGTATTTTAGTCAACGGTTTGTGTAGTGAATGATCTTTTATAACACAATTAGTATAACGTAATATCTTTATAAATAGCTGCAGAATAGAGAAAATAAAGTTTTAGTTAAAGTTAAACACCCCCAAAGGTCACTTTGATCAGTTTGTTAGTTATTCTATATTTCAAACATCTGTAAAATCAAGAATTGGTTAAATTTTCTTCGGCAAAAAGATTTCTCGTGGATCTTATCCTAGTGGGAAGGGACAAATCAACGAAGATAATACGTATACATTAACGATATTGAAATACCGATTTTACGACTTTCAAAAAATTAAGGGATACCTGTTCAAGAAACTGTGCCAGAGCTTCGTGATTCGCGACCACCACCGCGCCGTAATTATCCTCGAGGCTCCGATGAACTATACTCCGTCCCCGGCGTTGCCTCAATCGGCTTATCCTTAATTCGTCGTCCTTGCTCTTCCAGTCCTGATCATCCTCAGGGCCCTGTATTTTAAAGATTCCATTATAAATTCCACGCGACCGATAAAACTGCCAGCCGAATTAAATTGTCTCCCCTGGGGCCTCCTTATTGACCTTTAACTGGTCAGGTGGAAATATTACTATACACGAAACCTTCTTATTACTAGATTACTGAACTCGTCTTGACGTCACCTATAATACTATAAACTTAAGAATACATCTCCATTTTTTATCGAAGAGAAACTTTTTTGGTTATCTCTTAAAGCTGTAATTTCTTGCCAATTGATTACTGATTAAATTTTCTGCACAACACTTCTCTGCCAAATGATCAGAAGTTCCCAAAAAAAAATCGTGAGGACTGATTTGTGACGCAAACTATACAGTAAATCATCGATGAGTGTTCATAGGCTCCTCGGCACAAAACATTCGCTATTTCATAAACTAATAACTATATGCAGCTGCAAAAAATATCATTGGCTTCCGAATTCCAAGCTCCAGCATGTGTTAAACCTAATTAAAAAATCAACGTTACACCCAGGAACCTCTCCCTGTCAGTGTCGATGAGCCTTCCAACACTCATCAATGTTTTACTGTATATCATCGCGACTATCCCACTGGTTCGATCAACAATTTCGCCCAACTTTATTATTCAACGGCGTATGCCATTTCTCTTGGCAATTTCGCGCCAGCTGCCGGCCACGATCAGAATTCGTATCGAAGTATCTCGGTTAACGCTGCCGGACCGATGCGACTGGCGACTTCCAGGCAGCTGTATTCATCGCAAATCGACACGGGCTTATCGAATATCCGCCGCCTCGGTGTTTCGCAAGGGTGGGCGGGCATCAACGTAACGTCACGTAACACGACGAGGAATATACACTGTGGAATCGTACCTCATCGCCCGTATAAAAACCGTACGGGGCGTACAGCTCGCTCTCGGTCTCGCTGCCGCAATACGGTAGCGAGGTCGATCTGACGAACGTCTGATGATGAAATTTGAATTCCGTCCCGGGTTCCATCGCGTTGCTGTCGGATTTCCTCTTGCAGCTGAGATGAGATACGCCACCGTGTCGCAGCTCTAGATTCGAGTCGCACTCCGGCGAGCTCGAGAGGCACTCGTAAACATGACTGTCGTTGGACGTCTGGAAATGCGGAGGGGTGAAAAATATGGTCAGAATTAGAGATTTTCGAGCCATGTACGTCGATGTAATGCACGTTGAATGGGAAAATGGGGAAAATGATTCTTAACCCCTTGCCCTATAACATCGAGTCGGACTTCAAAAACGATTTCAAAATCGATTCAACGAAGATGAATATTCTTTGGTTTTCTTTGAGTCGAAGTGAAATGCCACGTTGCTGGCATTAATATTGAACTTTTACAGTAAAAATACAGTTGTGATAAGTACAGAATTCTTTTCGTTTCTGGGAAACTTGATAACAATTTAATCCTGGAGTCTGCAGTCGTAAAGAAAATCGTAGGGCAAGGGGTTAAGAGTCATTGTTGTCAGTTTTCAGGTACCAGTGTCCTTTTCACAAAATTATCATCACGTGCCGTTAGCAGCTGGTTTCATTGGGTATCGAATAATCAGTATCAATAATGAAATCAATTATTTTAGACGAAACAACTTGTATGTTCCTTTGGAAAATTGTTGAGAGCGAATTAACTATTGTCTTAGCACTGGTACTACCGAACTCGTCAAAATGACGAATTCCAAATTTCTTATTTCACAAGTACTGAGATTATAGTAGTGTTTTTTGAGGAATTTGTGTATTATACATATTAATGTACCATACAATTTAATTTAGTATACAGTATATCATCGATGAGTGCTCGAAGGCTTCTCGACATTGAATGTTCAGACGTTATCTGAGATCGCAGAGGGAAGGATGACGTCTGAATACTCAGTGCCGAGGAGCCTTCGTGCACTCATCGATGATTTACTGCACATTTTATGTCAGTTATTCTAGAGATAAAAAAATACAATTAAATAGCTGCACAAACCTTACAATATTCCTATCTTCAATGTCTTCAGTAGTGAATATCACTTTTAGTCAACCTTCGATGCCAAGATCACTTCGCGAAACGAAATATACAGTACCCTAATCAAAAGGTGTTCAAGAATTCCGGTACAACCGTGTCGTCTGATGCTAATTATAGAAAGACCACAGGTAGCAATCGCAACAGTTAACCAATCTCTTGACATTAAACTGACGATCACTGTGGAGACGTAGAGAGAAGCTAAATTTTTGTCACCAATACATACCAACCAGATCTAAGGATCAAAAGCACCAGAAATCTTGGTGACGGTCACCGGTGACCGTCACTCCGATAAACACGTTCATCTCGTAGAAGACTTCGGACGATAGAACAATTTTTTATTAAAAATTATTTAAAAATATTTTATTAAAGATTAATAGAAAAAATTACCTTAGGGATAACAGCGTAATATTTTTAAAGAGATCTTATCTAAAAAAGTGATTACGACCTCGATGTTGAATCAAGACAAAAATTGAATGTAGATATTTAACATGTTAAGTCTGTTCGACTTTGAATTTTTTACATGATAACCAAAGATCGATCTCCAACCGTGATTCTCCAAGCAACACAGAGACATCTCCACTGTCCTCTCTGACCACCCTCTAAATTCTTGAACACCTTTTTCCGCCCAGTGGACCGCCATAAAAATCGTTAAAAGCCCATTAATAGTAGCATTACCAGGGAATCGGACGTGGTTGCCGCGGTGACCGCGACCGCCTCGTAATCCTGATTAAGGGCCGGGCTGGACGAGCCGTGTTTCTTGACGATCGGCTGGGAGGTCGCCTGGTCCCTCATGCTGGCGGTTCTTTGGGGTTTCGACGGCGCCAACGCGCTGCGCACCTCACCTGTAACATCCTCCGCTGCTGCAGGCACGTCCGCCATCGTCAAGCGCCACGGGTTAGTACCACAAGACACAAGGCATGTCGCAAAAACAGGCTAGCCTACCGTAACTAGCGTGCTAGGAGGACGGAATTCGTTCCGGTGTGTACGTATACACTCCAGAGACTAGCGCTGGCACAGTCGTACGTTACATACGCGTCTACGTTTCGCCGGGCTGTCTTTGATAGGGGGTCAGAACCGACTATACGTATTTAGGAGGACCCTGCGAGGAGTCCAATGAATTTGTGGACTAATTACCGACGTGCATTCGCGTGATCTTTTCGTTTCTATCAGCTGGGACAGCCGAGAAGTGACAGTAACGCTTCAGAAGATTCGATTAACTGACCAGATTCAGTAATATTTTATAGTGACTTTGAATCGAATGAACTTTCACGAGCAAACTAGGCTTTCCCTAGGGGGAAAAATGAGGTATGAGAAGGGCCTCTTACTACTTGGTAAATTTATTTCAAATAAATGTTAAATCGAATGTTAATTTAGCATGAATTTCATTAATTCCCAATATTAAGTGGTAGAAGCACCTTCCCTACGTTACTTTTTCCCATAGTGGAAACCGATTTTGATTGTGGGCGAACATTGACGTGTTTGGGTTCAGTTTTGGAAATGGTAGATTTTATGAAAATATAACGAGGAATTGAATTTTTTAGTTTGGGGGAACAGGCTGTGCCCTATGTGACTGTTCGACGTTTTGTTAGACAGTGTCTAGAAACAGGGGATGTGATTCTCGATTTTCTCGAGGGTGGAAAACGTTCGAATCTCCTGAAGCGTTACCGGTAGCTCGCAATCTTTGTTCGAGATTCTTAACGTCGCGTGGTTAATCCCGAAGGTGGTAGAACGATGTCTAAATCAGGCACATCACGTAATACAGATTTTCATATTTTTGGATCGGTTGACAAACCTAATCTCCAAACAAACTACTTTCATGAAAAAATCAGACATGCCTGGCCTAGAACAAAATAGCCCTCAGCATATAACGAGAAACGAAACGATTCCGTCTGCGATCGACTCGCCTAAATATTGCACAATGACCAATAAAGGGAATACTCTCAAAAACCGAAATAAAAAAATCCATTAAACCCTTTAACTAGTCAAGACTGCGATAAACTAGAGTAACGTTTGTCTTGTTGAAATTAATATTCGAAAGCATCCGAGCGACGTTTCATTTAATTCTTCAGCAACTCGGTCGTGGCCGTTTTCGGCTCACGTGGGGGACACTCGAGCAACCGAAATTTGCTTGTTCCGCGAGGAGGAGTCGCGCTGGACCGGTCCCGTACCTCGGCCGAAAGTAATTACACGGCTAAAGGGTTCAATAGAGTTCTACGAATTCCCCCAGCGCCCGCGAAACACGTCGAATTAAGTGGTGCACAGAGTTCCGTACGCCGTCATCGGGAATCCTGGAATTGGCAGGCATTCGTTATCAAGGCCCTCCGGCCAGAGGAGGGTTGCGCGGACGGGGGATGGGGATGGCGGTGTTGGTGAACACGATGCTAATATGCAATCAATACATGCGGCGTTAGTTGCACCCCAGGGCCTGTTAAGGAGAACGTTGCGTAACACAATGGTAACACGATCGAACATCAACACCGACGTGTTTAGTATTTACAGGAGAGGGTGGAGTGAGGGGTGGCTAGAAGTGTAGAAGAGGCGATCCTCTCTGGCTGGTCGATGAAAAAGCGAAATCGATTCGTTGCTCGACGGTCGGGGATGGGGTTGTAAGGCGTTCGACTGGTCGTCGATAGATCCACCTTTGTGAATGGCGAACTGGTCCGGGTATATCGGAAATGAAAAAATATAGTGGCGAAGATAGGCATACGTGGGAAAGAGGATTGAGGCAGAAATAAATCGGAATGGAGAAATACGTGTACGCGGTGTTCTTTGGAATGGGACACGTGATTCACGATTCAATACAAGCGAAATTTCGTGCTCGAATGTCTCAAAAACAAAGGGTTTGTTATTTAACGAAAAATTTTTGACGGTCAATTTTCGAAAACTGTTGTATCGTCTAGTAAAGGCACTGGGAAGTATCCCTGAATTTTTTCAGATTTTTCGCGAGCCTATAAGATAAAAGAAATAGGTCTAGACATAAAATAACGGGGATCACCGAGGGTTAAGGTAATAGTAGATTACTCATTGGTAGACTTAATATACAGGGTGAGTCAATAATAATGCATAAAAAAGAACGGATTAAATGGATACCATTTGATTTCTTGATACCTTACTTTTTTTTAGATATCAAGGTTTATAATACCACATTGTTGTCGATATAAGGATGAATAGATAACAAAACAAATATTCATTGACCTTGAAAGAACTCAAAGTCACCTTGATATCTCAAAGAAAGTAAGATACAAAAAAATCAAATTGTATCCATCCTATCGTCCATTAAAATGCTACATAATTCATTGAAACGTTTTTTGATACAACCAATACATAATGAATTATTTTATTTATGTATAGTAAAATAATACGTTAAACTGGCACTCAAAGGGTTAAATGGACTGTATCGAATGAAAAATTTCCGTATCAGGTCACTGTTAATACCCCGGAGTGTCCCTGAACGGCAGTTAACGATGAAGCAAGTCCCCAAATCGAACCGCGACCACCTCGAAACGGTCGCTAGAGGAATTCGTATTTTCCATTTTTCGGTTCGTCGTTTCGCGCGTGTCTCATCGTCGTGGGTCCTGTACGCTCGTCATGAAGGGAAGAGATGAACCGCGATTGCAGCCCGCGTGAGAATCGAGGAACGAGACGCGTGGCCAAGAAAAAGAAGGCTCTTTGGTTTGTTTTGTTCATTTTTTTTTTTTTTCAGGCAACAATCGTTTATTTCAGACACAGAAATTCGATGGTTACAGAATCATGGTCATTGTCGGTTCTGTTTACAAAACGGTGCATTCGTGTGTATGTGTGTGTGTGTGTGTGTGTATGCATCGATGCAGATCGATTCGCAAACACGTATCGTGTTCGATTCGCGTCAGCCATTCTCAAACTTTTTTTTTTTTTTTGTTTCGATCGCACTCCTCATCTCTGTCGTTTCTGGACAAATTTCGTTTCGCTATCCCGTTTTCGCATACGCGGCGAAACGGAGGGAAATGTTTACTGTTATCGAGAAACACAGGCGCGAGTCGCGATTACAAAAGTGGACCGTGACGTTTCGTTCCATCGGCAAACCGACACACACGAGCGCGTACCGTTGGTAATATCGCATTTTGATCGTGGGTAATCGTGTAGTATCTCTATAAAAAATTGGTTAGTTCGAGACAGGATACACAAGTGCTTTCGAGCTAAAAAAAAAAAAAAAAAAAAAAAAAAAAAAAAAAAAAAAAAAAACACGTATGGCATATAGCAACGTTACAAGTTATCATAGAGCGTCGACTTAAAAAAAAAAACAGTAACTCCTTCGATCGAGGCATGTTCGTCTTCGTGTTAACAACAGAATAGATAATACCGAATATTTAAAAAAGAAAATAATAAAACAAAGACAAATGAGTAATAAAAACGCCAGACTTCACGACGACCGCACGTCGACTCGACGAAACGAGGAACGAAGAAGAAGAACGAGATAAGTTTAGGGGTGGTTGTGGTGGGGGTAAGAAAGAGAGAGAGTTAAACAACCGGTCATCCAGCGTTACAGGTTCATTCCCGAGCGGACGTACACGCCAGAAGTATTACGATATCGCAATAGGAAGCAGCTGGCGCGAGGATTCGTGTGAGTATGGCTGTTACACAACATCGAGACTTGCCGTGGTATCCATTAGTTACATTGTATGGGCCTGAACTTACCCAGATTCGCGTAAATCGAGTCTGAGGTCGTCGAGGCCGCTGGCTGCCAGGACGACGACGACGAGGAGGTGGAGGACGTTGACGAGCTGGTCGACGAAGACGATTTCGTGGACGTTTTCTCGCTTCTAGCTGGCAGCTGCTTGGTCTCGATGCGTGGCGGCGGCGGTCTGACCGGTTTACTAGCTGGATCCAGCCTCGACCAATCCTCCAGAGACTGGTTCCGCGGCGGTGGTGGTGGTTTCCCGGGTCTCACTGTGACCATAATATCGTAGCAACGTTACGAGCCTTGTAATTTCACGGGTATTCGCGGGAATTAAAGAGCAGGACACCGGGGAACGTTGGCTGAACGAAGTTGACCCTTTAGCTTGTACCGAGTTAGCCCCGTCACGAAAACTTTGAATCGAATTTAGTGAATACAGGGTGGATTATGTGTTAACAAAAAATGTACTAAAATCATATTAAAGTTCTTGAAACCATGCTATACCCGATAAAAACATTTCCGATGATAATAAGAATCTTTACTGATTACGATTCGTGGTTCACCCTGTATCTACGATCAAGTATTAAAAAGTGGACTCACCGGCGACATGGGAGGATCCCGCGGATAAAGGCGATCGAGTTGCTCTCCCAGTGTCGTTCCTGGGACCACAGAAGTCCGGTTGGTCTTCGCCTATCCTGCTGATCCGGTCGTTCCCCACTACCTCGACCGCAGCGCCATCTAATTCGAGCGGATGAATGATCTCCAGTCGAGGTTTGGGCTGCGGGGTCGACGGGATCTCATCAGTTCTCGCGTTCGACGCGTGCCCGTTGATCATGTCCACATCCTTCCTGGAGCCCATTCTCAGGAACCTCTTCAAGGAGAAACGCGACCTTCCCCTTTTCTTCTCCTCCCTCACCTCTGGCCCAGTGGTCAGACTATCCTGGGACAGGGATATCGTCCTCCTGGCGGCTGGGTCCGAGCTCTGGGCGCTGTTCCCTCTTCTCTTTCTCTCGAACGACCGGCGAGTCGGACTTGAAGGTCGTGATCGGATTCCTGGCGAACAGGGTAGACGTTGGCAACAGTTCCTCCATGGTTTCTGTGGTAGGTGGCTTGGGAGCCATTCTTCTCTTGTTAGGGGACCGTATCGATCCAGTCACTGGAACTTGACCATCAGCAATTTCTTCGTCGACCTCTGTGTTCTCGGTATCTGCCACCTCCGCGGTTTGACTCTTGGTCCCGATCAAAGGCGCCAACTTCGACTTCGCTCCTGGTGACGTTTTCGGCACCGTTGACTCGGAAGCTGATCTCGAAACGGATTCGAACTCCTGATGCATCGACGGGGTTGCGTTTTGCAACGTTGAAATCTGATTCGCCGTGTTCTCTGTAGCTTTCGGGATACTGTCGGTGGATGCGCCGTGAGATTGATCCACAGTTGGAAGTTCCTCGGTCTTGTCTTTGCCAGACGGCCGTGAACTGATTATCTGCTCCTGATGCGGGGGACGGCTAGCACCTGAGAATTAGTCGCGAGCGTGAACGGTAAGGGATGGGCGTTTGTGGGACGGCTCGTTTCTGTTAATTACAGGGATCGCTTAACGCGCCCGATGCGATCTAGTTATGAGTAATTATATCTTATTGCAGACGCTATGAACCGACCGGGTGGATCGCTCGATTGGGACAGTTAATTGGGCCCACGAATCTTTGATATTAGAGGATAACTGGTATAACGTACTATGATCAGGTAATTGTTTTGACCTAATAGGAATATTCTATGAAATCGATACTTCCTCCATTAATTATCAAAAGTACTTTCTCATTTTTAAGAAGTTGCTATCTTTTGTCGAGTATACAATCTTGTAACTTATCGAAACATCGGTTCAACGTCCTCTAATCTTAAGACGCCTAACATGGTTAAGCACCTAAGTTAGTTAGTATACTGACGCAGCCTGTATATCTAATCTAGTTGTACTTATCTCGAGACAAGTAATATATCTCGTCATTAGATGCGATAATACGAGTACGTATTCTACTACCGAAAAGTAAAATTTTCAGCACCTCAAAATCTGTCTATAGGCTGACAGAATAACGTTAATAACCGTATACTCCACCCATGAGAACCTCTAATCCCTGCTCATATCTTCCTTAAACTATTCTCAATCGTAACATTGATCTCTCTAAAAAATCCCTCAACCCTGACAGTACCCAACATCGATTCTTTACTACTTCCAATTATCCCACCTGGCGTGAGCACCTTCAATATCCCACTTACCCTTCGCGATAGAAAAAAAACGTGAAGGGATAATGTTAATTAAATATTAACAATAAGTTGCTCCACATTCGATCAGAATATCTGCAATAATTCCTAGTCTACCAATAAATCACTACCAAGATATAATTACCAAGCGTAGAGAACACTAATTCACAAAATTTCATCTAAGAAACCAGGTAACCCACCTGCACTCGGAGCAGGTCTGCCTCCAGCACTCTGAACCAACGGCAGCTGTTGGTAGCTCTTCTTCGTCAGATTCCCTTCAATAACGCCACCAACTCCCATCTTCCCCGAGAAACTGATCGGTTTCTGAGGTACGACAGGTTTCACCTTCGACTCAGGGCTCACCGCTCCATGCAGGAACGACGGTCTAGGCTCGGTATTCACGATCGGTTTGCTGGTCTCTCCTTGAACCGGTGGCCTGGCTTCTACAGATGGCGGTGGGCTTCTGGGTAGCGCCGGTGGTTCCGTGATCTCCTCCTCGTCAGCCTTTCCATCTGGTTCGCCAGCCAGCTCGCGACTCTCCTCGAAGCTGAACTTTTTCTCCGCGCGCTCGACGTCCATTTTACGCGGCGAATCCTCGTTACGGGGCAACGTGACCTTGGCAATATTTTTCCCTCGAACGATCATCGATCTGTCGCTCTCCGCCTCCTCGTCGACGTCGTTCTTTATCAAAGGCGTCAATGTCAACTCGATACCCTTGTCCAAACCGTCACTCTTCGAGCCATAAATCTCAGGTGACCTTCTCGCTGGTCTACCAGCGACATCGAAATCGATCTTTGTCCCCGTCTGAGAGACCAGTACTGGAACCTTTGACTTCTCGTTCTCTGGCTTCTTGATCGCTTGACTCCGAGGGACGCTAGGGGCTCTCCTGTCCGATTTACTAACGTCCAGACACCTATCCACGGATGGTTTGTCCTTTGCGTCGTCGGGCTCCGTTGGCTCGTTCCGTTGGATAACGGAAATTAAATTACTCGACGTGATCAACGGTAGGTCCACGATCATCTCTATGCCCGGGGAGTGCTTCTGATCCTTCGGCTCGTCCTTCTTCGCCTCGACGTCCGGTTTCTTCGGGCTCTTCAGCGTCGTCTGTGAAACGAATAGAATCAGAATCGTTGATTATAAATCGTCGACGATCGTCCAAAAATATTGACTATTCTGTTACAAACATCGAACTTCACGTTTAAAAATCACGTTGAAAACTAGAATATCTCCCCCAAAAATCGGTCTCACCTCAGATTTATCACCGTTCTCCGCGATTTTGTACTTGGAAGGGCTCGAGAAACCATTGACGAATCCGTTGATCTTCTTGTCGACGGGCCTCTTAGCGGTCGGTAGGGACTCGTCGCCGCCAAAAGGCGTCACAGAGACCAGCAGTGTCGTCTTCTTGCCCTCGGAGTCCTTCTGCATTCTGCCTAACATCAAAGACGCGAAGGATCTCGTCGTTGACGCTGGTTTGACCGCCTCCTTCACGGGTACGGACTGCGTCAGGTTCGCTGTGATCGTGTTGAAGTTCGTGTTGGCGCGCGTCAGGTTGCCCAAAGCACGATCCTCCTCGCTGTCGGGCACGGTGTCGTCGTCCCCGCTGGACGACTCGGCGAAATCCCGATCGTCCTCCTCCCCGTCGGAGAAGAAGTCGTCGCCCCCGTAGCCGATCACCTGCGTCAGGCATTCCGGGAACGCGACCGTCTTCTTTTTCTGGTCCTTCTGGCCGGCCGGTTTGCCGCGAAGAATACCCTGGAAGAAACGAAAAACTTGGAAGCTTCTTCATTTTACACGAGTTTGTAATATCAGAATTTTATCTGAAAATGCCACTGGCGGTCGAATTTTGCATGAATGCAGATGCTTTTCTGTTCTGTCACACATTATCCTCAAAAAGGTTGTCCATCATTATAGTCTGTCTTCGTGGTATGCCTATCGAAAACTTTCAGAACCCCCGAGAATAAGATTAATCAAGGAACAGTAATTTACATTTTCACCGGACCTGTTCTTCTAGTAATGACCCTGCAGCGTTCAGTATATTAGAAAATCACGGCGTAACGACAGAAAATAATATAACCTATGATAAAGACTGTCACTCTCTCGGATCCTATCGCCACTCCGCAGCGTAAACGTAAAACTGGACAGAGTTCAATTAATGTAAGTAGAATGAGACCACGCCTCGTCAGACAGGTCTGACTCGAAGACACGGTCTGATTCGAGATTTCGCGTACTTTTGCGGGACAGGATATGTTCCAATGAAGCGTCTATCCATCAATCCGCGGTGTTTAGTCTCGTTCTAGCCATCATGGAATAGTAAACGAGAAGAACGACTTGAAAACTTTCCCCAAGTGTGCTACCTGAACGATCGCAGTGGCAGGCATATATTAAATGCTCGACCAGCAGCCTGGCTGGAATATCACTCGCCGTGGATGCGAGTTTCCATCCAATTTCCAGATTTACTTTCGTTCCGACAACCCGGAGAAATTAAGTATCGGGGCCGCATAGATCGGCGCAAGCTTAACCGAGTTGGGATCGTCCGCGGCACCTGGATCTCCTGGTAATCCGTTTGATAATTCGCGGAATCCGACGGAATTCTATTCCTGGTCCGGTTAAAGGTTCTAGACGGGCGTTGACGGGTCGACTGCTCGCCTTATCGCTGGCTGCCAGGAAATGAAAGTTCACCTCCTACCGCTGAAGTTAAACGGATGAAGAAGGTGTAGCGGCCGCGGGAAACTCGATTTCTGCCCACCCGTCGGAACTTGGACGGTCAGGTGGCCATCAATGAAAGGGTTAACTGAATAATTCACAGAGTATTGTCTTCTTACGTGGAAAAATGCACGCGTCAGACAGCTTATCGTTCGAATTTCATAACACCCGATCAGCTGACGCAGCAAGGAGGAAGGATCGTCGAAACGACACCGCGAATTCCTTCCCCTCGGACCGATGAATGCGACAACAACGCGCAAAACTTTCCGTCTCGAGGTGTCGGGAAACAACCGAGCGCTTCTGGTCTCCATGTTTTCGTTTTTCCTGCTTCCATTCTCGGCTCCTTTCGCCGATGGCACTGTTCCACTCCTCTGACGGGATCGTTTCGCCGGATGTTATCGTCCAAAGTTCTCGATTGCCTGTGCTAAATGATCGTATGAACCGCTAACTTCTGATTTTGGCCCACTGCGCGATATGGTGAACGCGTCAGGTTCCAACGGGCCGAAAAAACATCGGGTAAAAGTGATCTGACGCGATGCAATTAGGAGAAATGCGCGATTCTGTTTTTTCCTTGTGTCCCTAGACGGTGGAGGGTGCGTGGTCCGGGAACTTTGAGGAATATTTCACGCGTGTGTAGGCGTCATCGAGAGGTTTTGCGTGTCAAAGAACGCGCGCCCACGCGAGAAGTTCGTACCCTCGGCGAAACAACGCCCATCCCACGGGAGAGGAACGGATGCGCGTCCGTATACCGTGTTGGACGATTAAGCGTGCACCCTTGTCACAAGCTGACATGGACACATGCATCATGTAAATTTAGAATTCCCCGACAATGAGACCGTTCCGCCGAGGGCGATTCAGCCTGAGCGACTGAATGGAATATGAACGCTGACGCGGCGCGAACATTGCCTGGTTGATCATTGACATAGAATTCTTTTTCTGTCCTCTGAGCAGTCTCCTCTCGATTGAATGCAAAGCATGGATAACAAAGATCCGTGTCGAAATATAATAATTCTACTGGGAAAGGTGTCTGACGCGTTGTCTACCGAGGAAGACATTTTTGCGACTGACGCTCTGGTGAACGAATGTAGAGGATTTTCCATAGTTTCGGATAATGGGTGCCATATTCACTACAGATATTTATTGAAATATCGAATACTGTGATACAATTTTACACCGACGATAACACGCGAAAAACGTTTTCGTTTTCGCGACGTCACCAATGGCAATCGGCCGGAACAACCTGGTAATCGGACTGCTAATTGGCAATGATCACCGGAACGCCTAGAAAAACCCGCTCTTGGATACGGCCACGAATCCGCCTGAACTGGGTTAGTTAGTCCGCGAGCAAGATCAAGGTGGGGAGCTCGTTGAATTACCATTCCGTGGACCTGGCAGTCGTCGTGGAAAACCGGCGTGGGTAACGACGAAATCAGCGTAACTGGACTAAAACGGGGCCCCTCCGTTATCGTTCATGGGCTACCGATGCCTGGGTGTCCGCGACCCGCGAACCAGCATGACTCGTTTCCGCGCTCCAGGGAAATTGTTAGGAAGTTCTGGCCGGGAATCGCGGGGCCATTATGCACGCCGGTATCAAGTTTCGCAGAACTGGGTCGTTTCTGGCGTATGGACCACCGTTACGGGATACCTTGCCCATGGTAAGAACAAAATTTATGTGTAGCTGCGAGATACGCGCGACACATGTTACACCGATGTCCGATAAACCTCTTACATTCGGCGAGAGAACTGTTACTATGCAGAAGCTGGTTCGACAGTTTCCGAAGGACTTCTGTCTCTTAAGGCGATATTACTACCCGGTGGCGTCAGTTTTAATCGGTTTTTGGAACCAAGAATTTAGAGACCAAGGAACTTGACTGGCGGGAGTGACGTTGGAACACTCATCGATGATTTACTGTACTTCAAAATGGAACTCAAATAGAAAAAAAAATTCACTTATAGAATATGCAGTAAATGTTGCAATCATTACTTAATTCTTGATAGCCTGAAATAAGTATTGTTTAAGGGATATTAAAGCTCGATGGTCAACGTTCATTTTACTATGAAGTAATAAACGTTGTTTAGAATACATAAATTTTACAAAACATTAGATTTACTTCATATAGAACGGGTGTCCTAACAGTTACGAGTGGTAGTACATGTCTTCTATACTAGAAAGATAGTAGAATACTATAGTAGATTTGATTGTAATATAGTAGATTCTAACTAATAACAATTAAAATTCCACATACATCATTTTTTAATCCGTCATAAAAGCTATGACCTTTTATTGTTAGTTAACTTATCTACACACAGAATAATTAGAAATTGTTATTCACTCTTGCATACAGTTGCTCACAAAAGTAGTCGACCACCTTAAGCGTTAACCAAATTTTGCGTGTAATTGTAAGTTTGCGAACAAAACCCCATACCAAAACCATACTAGTTTATCCTAGAACCAATTTTCACTAACAATAGATTCTGATACAGTTTTTATTTGCAAATCAAAAAATACAAATGCTTGGTAAGAAGCACAGTAAATCCTCGATGAGTGTTCGAAGGCTCCTCGGCACTAACGAGGATACGACTCCAATTGTAAAGCTGACTTTTTGATGACGTTTATCAAGTGATAGAGTTTGAAATTCTGAAGCCAATGATATTTCTTTCAGCCGCATATGGCCAATAATTTATTAAATATTTCAAGTTCAGTGCCGAGGAGCCTTCGAACACTCATCGAGAACTTACTGTACCACCATTTTCTAAAGTACCAGGGTATATCATACATCACCGCACAGCGAACAAGACAAAACCACCCCGTGCTTCGACATTACCTGTATCTTAACATTATCAGTCTTGACGAAGTTCAGAGCTCTGCCGATGTTCAGCCTGAGCGTCTCGCCCGGCGATGCGTGCTCCTCCCGCGGCTTGAAGCAATTCGAACAGAGTTCCTTCTTCCAGGCGTTCTGCACGAAGCGGTTGCATTGTGTGGACATCGTTGCTTCACTGCCGGCGACAGCGAAAGTCCCGTTACATCATCGCCCTGAAAGGAAAGAGGTGAAATAGTAATCGTCCAATTTCTGCGACCGCCGGTGAACGGAGCAGAGCCCGCCAGCTTCGGTGCCGCGTAGAGCGCTATCCTCTAGGGAGCCATTACTCCAGATACACCGGGTGTCCTCCTTGGTGGCCAAACTTTGGGATTTCCGCGACTGGAGGACATCCGCGAACTTGCTGAACTCGATTTAATTAACGAATCACGGGTTCACGTCGACAAGTCGAAAGTATCGGCTTACCCTACATCGGATTATTCGGTTCTACGCGAAACCAATTCGAATCTAGGTGGCATAATATATAAAACCACCTAGGAATCCTTATCCATCGAAATAAAAACGAAACACTTTTCTTTCTAGGGAATATAGTTTATATTTTTCGAATATTCACGAGCGCAGTCGAAACGCAATTTCGCTGGCCGAGATAAAAAAATAATTTAACGCCTTTTTTCATCCGATCGGTGAAGTCTATGCCAGAGTGTTCGATGAATTTTAACGAAGCTGGTGTTTCATTGTTAACGTTGTTCTTCCTAGCAAAGTTCCGATCGGACGGAGTTGCATAAATTACACCCCCCCAGGGAAAGCCAGGAAAACGAGTTTAATCTCCGATACTTCACCAACCGAAGATATACTCCGAAACGATCGAAAACACGATCGTAACGAGCACCAATGGTGCTTCCCAGTTTCACAATTTCGCTACGGCAGGCTTTGAAACATTCCACGAGTGACATACAATTTTAACATAAATTTATGTTAAAATAATATAATTGTTTAACCCCTTGCCCTATGATTTTCTTGGCCAGGATTACATTGTTGTCGATAATTTCTCAGAAACTGTATTTTTGCTGTAAAAGTGAAATATTAATGCCAACAACGTGGCATTTCACTTCGACTCAAAGAAAACCGAATAATATTGTTCATTGTTGAATCGATTTTTAAATCGTCAACACGAGTCTGACTCGATGTCATAAAGCAAGGGGTTAATAGAACTGCATAAACTGTTTCACTGTATTACAATACAATAATTTATTAACTTATACCAGCGAAATTTGGGGAGGTTCGATCAAGAAAGACGGGTCGAAATATCAGGGGAACCGATAACGAAGGGAATAGTATCGGTAGAATACCGGGATTAATCCACGAACTTCATTAATAACAGGTGGGCAGGGGGTGGCTTTATCGGGAAAGTGGAGGAAACGGTGGAACGCTTTTATCCACGCTCGGTGGAACGCGAAACTTCCTTCTGGAAAGTAGTTTACCATTCCAGCGGGAGAAATACGAGCGTTTTGCAGCTGGAGGGAAGGGAGGCACGGTCGGTTAGCTTTTGAAAATTTCCAAAGACCGCCGCCCCGCTGCGAGTCACGTGCCGCGGATTCTTTCGAGACGGTCTCCAGGAAGGAAGACTCTCGAAAAATCACCAAGTCCTTGGCCCAGGACCTGGAACTTTACGCGATTTTTATTCTTCCGTGCCTTCGAACTTCCCGCACGGAAACTTTTTCCCGCCCTGGAGACGTTCGTTTCGCGTGTGTGGGATTTCTGCTTCATGAATTCGACTGCCAGGTGAGAGTTTATCCCACGAAACCGAAAAAGTAACGAATGGCTGAAGAAATTTTGGTGACGAAATATGATTCCTTTCAAGGGAGGATCGTTCTTTGCGTCAGGAGACGAAGGGAGACCAAGCGGGAGGAAGCTTTGTTCGTAAGGGAGCATCGTCTTCGAGAAAATTGATTTTAAGAATTCATGGCTACATACACGGTTGCTGCGGAGTGGCCCGTTTTCTGGGGAACGAAACTTCGCGGACCGATCGAAACGGTCGAGCCAAGTGAAGAAAAGTAAAGAATCTGTTTATTTATATTTGACAACAGGAACTTACCAGTTACTTCTGGTTTAATATAGATTTATACTTAAATAATATTCTTGTACTGTTTCGTATTTAAATAGGAACTGCTGGAAGCAAGATAAACCAAAAATACCTAGACAACCATTATTTAGTTTAACCCTCTTGCACTGTTCAATAAATTCTCACATTAATATTCCTTGGTCCAAGCTAAAGTCGAATTAAGGAAATATGTACTTTTTGTAAACTGTAATGATGCGTGAACGTTTCTGAAATCCTGGGTCGAAATGGACCCAGGCACCGCCATCGAAGTGTTAAGGTCTCAGCTCCGATCAAATTGGTAAAATAGAGGGAATAGGTGCCCCCCTCCATTCATTCATCGAAAAGGTTAATCCAACCGAGCACGGCTTGCCTTCCCGTCGACAGCGGCCACCGTGAACGCAATCAGTTACAATTGACCCGAGCCGTCCGCTCGACTGAATAATTGCCCCCCCACTTCCGGTTTCGCTTTTATCCCGACATTGTGTCGTCGAACCTCCCTCGACATTAGCCGCAGATACCTCTGGATCGTGACACCGAGCTCACCCGGGAAGAGATCGCGAAACCACGTAATTCGTAACACTCTTCCTCGTGAGTGTACACATTATACCAGTCTTAAGGTGCGTATCCACTTGTTACGTGAATCCTCGTACCTTATCATCGTTGCGTACCAATGTGAACTATTCATTTGAACAACTTTGGGGTGGGGAGTCTTCTACACCCCAGAGTTACAATGTCACTGTATTTTTCTTTGTGTTCGTGTATTTGTAACACCCACCAACACGGTGACTTCCTCTTTTTGTCTTCAGAATATAATACCGAAAAATGTAGAAGGTGCTAACTCAAAAGGTGAACCCATTATAGTCAGAGAAGGAAATGATACTCTAATTCTCGTGACAGGTCGTATCCTCCGTTTAAATACGCATACGTATGCAACGATGATACGCAACAGTGATACGATACAACGTTACGCAACAGCGATACGATACGAGGATACGTACCAAATGGATACGCACCTTTACCCGCCGCTTAGGGAAGCCACGGAGTATTTCCGGGGGCCGAGGGTCACGAAAAACGCGGAAGCGTTCGTGATAGAAATTAATCGTCCACGCGCGACGGATAACGAATGGCCTGGTCCCGCGGAGTGAGACGGAATATTAGCACGGGGGAAACTTCGGCCGAACAGATTTATTCGCCGGTTAAATGAAAGTTTCGCGGCTCCGGGCTTCCGCCGTCCAAGACAAACGGCGACGTCGAGCCTGGTCATGGTCCGCGTAAACATTAATTAAATCTTCTTCGCTGCTTTTTTACTCTCGCCTGATGTTTGAGAACATAGCAAAACGGATTTCCATCTTACCAACGTAAGATTGTGAAAGGCCTACGGCCTCCTTATTCCAGGCGCCTAGTCTTTACTTTGGGTTTAGGTGATTTATGACATGCTCTAACTGCAGGAGCTGCACAGTGACATCTTGCTTGGTAAATTTATTTCAAGTGCTGAAATAAATGTCGAATCGAAAGTTAATTTGGCATAATTATGATTCCCGACACCAAGTTCCCTACACCACCTTTTCCCCTAACGGAAGCCGAGTTTGCACGTCACCGATGACAAGGATACGACGACCTAGAACCTATTGCTCCGGTTTCACAGAGGACTCGTACAGGACTCGTTTCGAATCCCCGATAGAACCAGTAATACCACCAATCGTGTTCCGTTGCTGGATCGTTCCAGCCACGATTAATCCCCGGAACTGGCCGCCGGTTACCATTCGACGACCGGTATTCTAATAGACCCAGTGCACCAGAGATGACTTCGGGCTGTCGGAAAAAGACGCCAAGGTCGGCGTTCTATGTGTCTCGATGGTTACGTCACCGGCAACGATGGAAGGTAGACGCGCAATGTTAAGGAAGTGACGTTTCATCGGCGAGTAGAAGGATTCTCCTGGAACAGGTTGCCTGGTCTAATCGTGAAAGATGAAGGATAACCATGGGTCTAGCGAAGACGGTTAACATAGTCGCCAAGGACAAAGAACCGTAGCAACTGATGACCAACGGTGGCGCATTAACATGCACAAGAGCTGCGAAACCGCGGCCAGCCAGGAATAAAGTACCGTTTCCAATCTCGATGATCCGTTACATCCCCTGCCTGCCTGACCGTCCATCCGCGCCGCCTGGAATCTCGTTCCCAGCGGCGGCACGATCCGTGTGCAGTTTCGCAGGCCGAGGCGTCTTCATTAGCCCGTAGATCATACGGGCAAACGGGACGCGACGGTGATTCAGTGACCAGGAGGAATCTGGCTCACTGGCCGTGACGGTCGGGCCATTTTTCCGGAGGACAACACTCGGTTAAATCGCGTTGCTGAGGACGGGCAGGGATTTTTTTTAATAACTTTTTATATTCTTGAGTTAGAATTTTTATACAGAGTGAACCACCTAATATGGGCATCTTAAATATTTCACTTATAAGGGAAGTTCGGTAACCAGAAAATTCCGATTTTTTTTAAACTTTGTAGATTTGTAGGGGACCTCAAGAGAAGTATGGAGCAATTTTTGTTTTTGGCCCAATTTCAGTTCTTCGGGGTGAAAACATCCCTTGAAGGTAGATAGGTGTTTCCATATTTCTCTGTATATTTTTAAAACTATCGTAGGTATAAAACAAATGGTTACAATAAAAATTGAATGGTTTTTCATAATTAATAAAAGTGGGGGGTGTTTTTATTTAATCAAAGAATTTTTATAAATTTAATTGCATCGTTTTGTAGAGCATAAAAAACCATTCAACTAACTTCGGAATTACGGATGTGTAATGAAATCTTGGGTAGTATATATGACTGGGTTATTATTGCCCATCCAATTTTTATTCTGTTTACAGGAATTTCTTTCCCCTCTTAAGTATCTTATCAAGCCCAGAATATAATTGAAGAACTCGTAGCATCCGATAAAGGTTCCAGTGTTTCATTCCATTTCACAGAGCCCAATAGGCTATACATGTCTAACGATCGGTAAAAAGGTACCTCTCGCGAAGATGGAATTTTAGGAATGTGGCCGCGTTGAATGGCCAATAACGATCATT